TTCGAAAACCTATGTAACTTCTGACAAATTTTTTATCTTAAAAAATATTTATTTTGGAAATTTTACACTAAAGTTACAGCAACGTCAGAGTAACAGATCCATCGCTATTTTACCGTTTGTTTCCAAAACGTTTCGATGTTTGTCTCGTGATCTCAGTTCTTTTTGCAACTTTTTTGAATATTGAAAAACGACGTGGATTGTGAAATTGTGTTTTGACCAGGCTATTGGTCAAAACACATAGTACAATCGAACATGTTTTGTTCTTTCGGATTCAACCCTCGTAGAACACGTCATTGATTCATAGAACGAAGACCCTGAATCGGTTAATAATTACTTTTTCCTAGAATGCTTCCCTAACGGCGATATACAATGTAGTGGAAAAAATGTCTACTTCAAACCGGTCAATAGCGAAACGTGACGCGACTCGGTGAACGGGGATGAGAGATTTTTTTCAAGCGAAATTTGTATGGCTGTAATTCGGCATTGAAACGTTACGGCCAATGAAGTTTTACAATTTCTTGTGCATTTACAAACTTCTGTATTTACAAATTTTTTGATAGATTTAATTATTTACTTATTTATTTAATTATTCATTTATTTAATCATTTACTCATTTACTCAGTCACTCATTTACTCATCTATTCATCCACTCATCTACTCAGTCACTCATTCACTCATCTACTCACCTATTCATCCACTCATTCACTCATTTACTCATTCACTCATTCACTCATCTACTCATCTACTCATCTACTCATCTACTCATTTACTTATTCACTCATTCACTTATTCACTCATTCACTCATCTACTCATCTACTCATCTACTCATCTATTCATCCACTCATTCACTCATTCACTCATTCACTCATTTACTCATCTACTCATTTACTCATTCACTCATCTACTCATCTACTCATCTATTCATTCACTCATTCACTCACTCACTCATTCACTCACTCACTCACTCATCTACTCATCTACTCATCCACTCATCCACTCATTTACTCATTCATCTACTCATCTATTCATTCACTCATTCACTCACTCACTCATTCACTCACTCACTCACTCATCTACTCATCTACTCATCTATTCATTCACTCATTCACTCACTCACTCATTCACTCACTCACTCACTCATCTACTCATCTACTCATCTATTCATTCACTCATTCACTCACTCACTCATTCACTCACTCATTCACTCATCTACTCATCTACTCATCTATTCATCCACTCATTCACTCATTTACTCATCTACTCATCTATTCATCCACTCATTCATCATCTACTCATCTACTCATCTATTCATCCACTCATTCACTCATCTACTCATCTACTCATCTATTCATCCACTCATCTACTCATCCACTCATCCACTCATCCACTCATTTACTCACCTACTCATTCACTCATTCACTCATTCACTCATTCACTCATTCACTCATCTACTCATCTATTCATCCACTCATTCGCTCATCTACTCATCTACTCATCTACTAATTTACTCATTTACTCATTTATTAATTTATATATTTATTCATTTATTTATTTATTCATGTTGGAAATTTAATTCCATTTCTGTTAGAATCATAAAATGCTAAATATAGTTGTAACGCGTCAGAATTTGTCACGCTGCTTAAAAAGTAATATTTCATCTTGATTTACACGAGGGAAGAAGTATCGGCTGTCGTATCGGTACAGGTCGATAAAATTTTAACGAAGTATGCCGCTGTGTTTGCGAAAGCGTCAGGCGGAAGTTAAAGTTAATCGTGTTACAGATACTCTCGGAAGTTCGCTATCGTCAGCCCGTCAACATTTTCGTGTTCGATCAGAACAAATACGAGTGATGGATCTAATTTTCCGGATATTTAACCAGAATTTCTCACAGACCCAAATATCCTAGAATAAATTACAATCTCTAAGGTCGTTTATCATTATTTGTTACTCCTCGTAAAATCTTGCATTACTCAAAAATCTGTGGGAAAATAAATGGAGACTTAAATTGCCTGTAAAATACTACAAAAGTAGAACATGTATGTAGAATTACTTTTGAACTAAACAAATTTAATAAATTTTAATATTATTGTTTAGACAGATGCAATGGTAGCAACGTAGTTTAATCGACATGATAAAGTCAGTTTGCGTACAAATATTGTTTCAATCTTTAGAGACGAACTGCTCTCAACTAGTTTTACACTTGTTCATCAAACTCGCGCAAATCTAGAGTCACTATTTGTTCACTGAAAATTTGCGTCCTAATTAAAATAACTCTTTATTAAATTAAATGAAGAAGACATTTTACCTAAACTATTCAATATTTAAGAAATTCAAAATTAATTTTGATATTTTAAATGCTCAGATTTTTCTTTTAAAACTATTTTTTAATAAGTTCACATTTTAAAAAGATAGAAATACGAGTAACAATAAATTAATTTGAGGATTAACGCTGTTTCTTTTGTTACAGTTTTCACGGGAAACTGTGGAAGACACCTCCCCTAATAACCTTGACGTTTATGGTGCCTCCCCTAATGGAGTTTCCTGAGCAACAACCCTTTTGCTGCCTTTATTGTATGCAACCTGCTGTTTTTCTGCGATCGGAGAGTTGCATGCAATTTTTATTCCTCCGGTTTTCAATCATGTTGTAGAACGAAAATCAACACTGTGACTGGTTGTATATGGGGTTTCGGTGAACATAGTAACCACGTATATTTACTATACTCGTGAATAGTAACATTTGTATTTCTTAGCTAAAAATAGGTTTTGTGCTTGAAAACAAAGAAATGTAGTTTAAATTAATTTTAATTATACTTGTTACAATTTGTATTTTATTAAATTACATTTATTATATATATTTGATATATTGAATATATTGAATGTGTGAATATTTAGAGAATAAGAGAAGTTTAAAAAAATGTTGGTCCCAGAATTTAATGCAAAAATTAGTGCTATTTAATATGAAATTTTAGTTGAATTCTATTAGTAGAATTTAATATAAAATATTTTAATATTATTACAAAATAGATATGTATTTTATTATTAATTTATTAATAACATTGATGGTACATATTAATATAATATTTTTTTACAAAATATTAGTAGAATTCTCTTAGAAAAATTTAATACAAAATATTTTAATATTATTACAAAATAGATTTGTATTTTATTATTAAACTATTAATAACATTGATGGTACATATTAATATAATATTTTAATACAAAATATTAGTAGAATTCTCTTAGTAAAATTTAATACAAAATATTTTAATATTATTACCAAACACATATGTATTTTATTATTAATTTATTAATAACATTGATGGTACATATTAATATAACATTTTTCTACAAAATATTAGTAGAATTCTCTTAAAAAAATTTAATACAAAACATCTTAATATTATTACAAAATAGATATGTATTTTATTATCAATCTATTAATAACATTGACTGTACAAATTATAATTTCCCTACCAGTTTAATTAAAACGATTCAAAAGTTTGCAAATCTAGCACAATGCAGATCTCCACAATAAATTGCACCGAAAAATATAATTGATGTGCAAGAAGACAATTCGCGGTGGTAGATTGCCAAGTCGGAATACCCTGCAACTTTTTGCGCATTCTTTAAAAGTTGCTGCGACGAGGTGATCGTCCAAGGATGTTTCACTAATTCCATAACTTCCAGAATAACTTCTTTTTCATCGAGTAAAGTTCTTTCATAATTTTTCGATTACAGTTTTTCTTTGAGTATATCAATCTTAGTTAAAGTCTTGCTTCCAAACTTTTTACTCTTGAACTTCTATCATAAAATCGAGTCATATCGATCACAGTTAATAAGCCATCAGTTAGATGTTTTCTAATCAGTCTTTTAGCCGAGGATTTTCAGGCTTTCCGCGTTCCGAAGCCCATTGATGTACACAGGTGCTAGTTGAATGAGGAGGCTGTGAACTAGTTTTTAAGATTATTAAGCTGGATGTTAGTGTGTCGAGTTATAGTACTTTGTTCAACACTAGAACTACCGATATTAAATGCTCATTTATCGAAGAATGAAAAATAAAATGAAGAGGGAAATAAATAAATACTGAAGCATCAAGTAACATGTTATAGAACTAGTTTTTACTTCAACAAAATATGAAAGGAATTTCTATAAAATCGACAATAAAATTTTGTAATATAGAATGAGAAATCTGAAACCATTTTGACTGGTTGGTAGTTCTAGTGTTAAATAGTGTGTATCTGCAACATCCCTCATTGAGTCTTTAACCCTTTGGACTCCTATGTCGAGTGTGGCTCGACATCACATTTTTCTTGAACCTTATAAATAATTCAGATAAACAAATTATTTCAATATATATATTTTGATCAATTTACTAATTATAATAAATGAAAAATGTATTTGTCACATACGCGCACTGTTACAACACACTTAATGGAGAAACACTTTCTTGATCTATTTTGTAAATGAAAGAGTTGGTAGGTGAAAGAAATTAAGGAGTGCAAATGGTTAAATTGCAAATATTGTAAAAAAATATATAAGTGAAAGAGTTTGTATATTACTTGAAATGTTAAATTAAATATCGTTTTTGTGAATTATGTAAAGCAGGAATATTTCAAGGAATATCTGTTAAGAATACTAATTAAAATTTCCACCTTCTTGTTTTCCTGTTCAGTTGCTAAATCCACTTAATTTAACCAGAAGCAAGTCCGTTGCATTTAATTTGTTTAAGAGTTAATTAAAACCGTGATTGTTGGCTTCGTGAAGCCGGGCAAACTTAAATTAAACGTGTACTGAATAATGTAATTCAATATTGTATATCAGATAACGTTTCCTTGTTTTTGGGGAAACATGTTGCGGATTAGATTGGTACAGTGAAATATAATTCTGACTAACTAAAACAAAGTTTGATAGTTTTTAGTTGTGTTAATATACCTTCTTTTGGGCTTCAAAATTATTTACATTGTTATTGAAATTATTTTGTATATTAATCTGTGATCAGCTTTCCGTTACAGAACACTTCAGTGAAATGAAGATTATGAGGAAGAAAGGATTACAGAAAAAATTCTGCAATTTTTCTGGTTCAGTATATTTCAGAAAGCACCATCTCATCAAGGATCCCATCAAGCATCAACACACTATAATCCACTACTACTACAATAATCAACTACACCATAGTTCTTAAGTTTTACAGCCATATAGTAAATTTCCAGTTAGACCTAGTCAATAAGTTAAAAATTTACTCAAACCCTGGTGTTTAAAATTTTGTTACAATTATTATTAACTACAAGCTCTCATATAGGCAGGTTAATTTATAAGACAGATATGCAATTGTTTTTGTTAAAATCAAAACAGAACATTATCACTAACCTCTTGTACCATGACACACCAGGTGCGTCATAACTAGTCACACCTATAATATTAAGGTTAATTTATGAGACAGATATGCAATTGTTTTTGTTAAAATCAAAACAGGACATTATCACTAACCTCATGTACCATGACACACAAGGTGTGTCATGACTAGTCACACCTATAATATTAAGGTTAATTTATAAAACAGATATGCAATTGTTTTTGTTAAAATCAAAACAGAACATTATCACTAACCTCTTGTACCATGACACACCAGGTGCGTCATAACTAGTCACACCTATAATATTAAGGTTAATTTATGAGACAGATATGCAATTGTTTTTGTTAAAATCAAAACAGGACATTATCACTAACCTCATGTATCATGACACACCAGGTGCGTCATGACTAGTCACACCTATAATATTAAGGTTAATTTGTAAGACAGATATGCAATTGTTTTTGTTAAAATCGAAACAGGACATTATTACTAACCTCTTCTACCATGACACACCAGGTGCGTCATGACTAATCACAGCTATAATATTAAGGTTAATTTATAAGACAGATATGCAGTTGTTTTTGTTAAAATCGAAACAGGACATTATTACTAACCTCTTGTACCATGACACACCAGGTGCGTCTTGACTAGTCACAGTTATAATATTAAGACAAAGTTGAAATATGTCAATTATCAAACGACTATGCAAATAATTAGACTTGATCTCCTAATTGAAGAATAGTGAAAATTTGAGTAAAATTGTTCATAGCTGAAGTATGAGTCACGAGACTAAATAGTGTAAGGGGTTGAAATATATATAAGTGTTCTATTTATGATTTGATTTATTTATAAGTTTACAAGTTTAAGTTTTATAAGTTTACCACTTGCTGTTAATCAGAATTTGTGTAGAATTTATTTGAACGAAGCTTACAATTAGCTATAAGAAGGGTGGTTCAGAGTGAGTCCCCAAATACAACCCCTCGTTGCTCCAAAAATTGATATTGTTTATTGTTTAATTAATCCTTTAATTCTATAATCAATCCTCGACGTTGTACATACATTAATTTTACAGTAAACAGAAGTTTCCAGTAGAGTTTCCATCTATCTTTCTTATTCCAAAGTCGAAAGAAACGACACCCTGTCTCATCAGCTGTTCCAAGAACTTCAATCGAAATTTTCTTGCTTCGATAGTCCGTAACGCAATCAAAGAGAGTAATATGATAAGATTTCGCGATTCCTAATCTTGTTTTTCCTCGAACTGAACGACTAATGAGAAAGCTTTATCAAATTAGTTCGAAACCTTTGTTCATCGGGAATATCGAAAATATAATTACCGCGATCGGGATAATACCACCTTTGAATCTACAGAATTCTGTTCTTCTTTTTTCTGTTGTACGTTAATTGGCATGGCTTCGTTGATACCTTTGTAACACGTTTCATGTTTCGCGTATTCGTTAATTAACCGTTGAGATCCTTTTCTGAATTAGCTCACTTTCACAAGCTTCGTTGCGCACTGCATTTATTCCGAGAACAGTGTTATGTTTTTTTCAAATTATATTTTTGCGAATCGCGTTGTTAAAATTTAAAATATCAGTTCTCAGCTTCGTTAAAGATCGAAGTAGATTGTATTTGATAGTAGAGACCTTTTGTTAAGAATAATTATACTATACTATTATTTTTTATATAAACAATATTTAATATTATGACGCATCAGGTGCGTCAGAACTAATCACAGCTTATTAAGGTTAATTTATAAGACAAATATGCAATTATTTTTGTTAAAATCAAAACAGGACATTATCACTAACATCTTGTACTATGACGCACAATAGCTGAAGTATGAGTCACGAGACTAAATAGTGTAAGGGGTTGAAATATATATAAGTGTTCTATTTATGATTTGATTTATTTATAAGTTTACAAGTTTAAGTTTTATAAGTTTACCACTTGCTGTTAATCAGAATTTGTGTAGAATTTATTTGAACGAAGCTTACAATTAGCTATAAGAAGGGTGGTTCAGAGTGAGTCCCCAAATACAACCCCTCGTTGCTCCAAAAATTGATATTGTTTATTGTTTAATTAATCCTTTAATTCTATAATCAATCCTCGACGTTGTACATACATTAATTTTACAGTAAACAGAAGTTTCCAGTAGAGTTTCCATCTATCTTTCTTATTCCAAAGTCGAAAGAAACGACACCCTGTCTCATCAGCTGTTCCAAGAACTTCAATCGAAATTTTCTTGCTTCGATAGTCCGTAACGCAATCAAAGAGAGTAATATGATAAGATTTCGCGATTCCTAATCTTGTTTTTCCTCGAACTGAACGACTAATGAGAAAGCTTTATCAAATTAGTTCGAAACCTTTGTTCATCGGGAATATCGAAAATATAATTACCGCGATCGGGATAATACCACCTTTGAATCTACAGAATTCTGTTCTTCTTTTTTCTGTTGTACGTTAATTGGCATGGCTTCGTTGATACCTTTGTAACACGTTTCATGTTTCGCGTATTCGTTAATTAACCGTTGAGATCCTTTTCTGAATTAGCTCACTTTCACAAGCTTCGTTGCGCACTGCATTTATTCCGAGAACAGTGTTATGTTTTTTTCAAATTATATTTTTGCGAATCGCGTTGTTAAAATTTAAAATATCAGTTCTCAGCTTCGTTAAAGATCGAAGTAGATTGTATTTGATAGTAGAGACCTTTTGTTAAGAATAATTATACTATACTATTATTTTTTATATAAACAATATTTAATATTATGACGCATCAGGTGCGTCAGAACTAATCACAGCTTATTAAGGTTAATTTATAAGACAAATATGCAATTATTTTTGTTAAAATCAAAACAGGACATTATCACTAACATTTTGTACTATGACACACCTGGTGCGTCATGACTAATCACAGCTGTAATATGAAGGTTAATTTATGACACAAATTTGCAATTATTTTTGCTAAAATCAAAACAGGACATTATCACTAACCTCTTGTACTATGACTCACCTGGTGCGTCATATAAATAATTTAATATTAAATTATTTATTATATGTAGTAATATTCCTGACGTTATAATGAGAATATTATCTTAATATTATAACGATAAAATTATCTTAATATTGTTATTATAATATCTTAACTATCATAACTATCTTATTGTTATTATAATTATCTTATCTTATTATTATTACAATGATGTAATATATTTTGCTGAGCTTCGACGTTGTCACCGTATCTCTATGTATCGAAATAATTGCAATACAAAAGGATTAACATTTGTTTAATACTTCTGTCCAAATTCAAATATACCGATCGCTATCGAGATTAGTCCAATTTGCACAGAATTTGTAAAGCAAGAATTATTAGCAGCAGAAGTTAAGCAATTTATTAGACTATCAATATTAGATAAAGGACTTTGCGGAAATATATAGAAGCTTTTGCAGTTACCTAATATTCGAGATACTTTGCCTTTGTGTCGATGTGTCATCTTCAATAGAATACCGAACCGTTTAAATTGAATTACAACCACGAACCTTTTACCGCGTCGCTTGTCAAAGTTAACTCCGTTTCAGGTATCCCGGTTTAAGACGTGTCTGCTTATCCTGACGAGGATTCTCTGTTAGTCTGAAAATATCCTTAGATCCCCGGAGAAGCTAACTATAATATCAGACGAACGTCGGGCAAATCCTCATCGAATCTTCTGAAATCCTACAACTTAAGAGTAGAAAGAAAACAATTTTTTTAGCGATATTGGACGTGATCGAACTTTCTTCTTTATTTTCATGAGGTTGTTTGAAGGTCGAATGGTTCATTTAATTGCCATAAATGGTAGTTTATTTCATAGCAATAATTTATGAAATATTCATAAAAATATTTCTGTTATTTTTCCTAATAATTTTATTAGAGTGGAATCTCATTATATGGCCCTAAAGGGGTCTATAGGAAAATGTTTTATATGCAGTTTGGTTCTCATTGAATTCTTATGGAACACACTTTTAAAATAATTGTATTATTCTTCCTAATAATTTGATTAGAGTGGAGTCTCATTATATGGCCTTAGATGGGTTTATAGAAAAATTTACTGTAAGTAGTTTGGTTCTCATTGAATTCCTATGGGACAAACTTTTATTCATAACAATATTTCTATTACTGTTCCTAATAATTTGATTAGTGTGCGTCTCGTTATATGGCCCTTGAGGGAACTATAGAAAAATCTTCTATAAGCAGTCTACTTCTCAATAAATTCTTATGGAACAAACTTTCATATATTTATGAAACAATTTTTCCATTATTTCTCCCAATAATTTTATTAGTGTATAGTCTCGTTATATGGCCCCATAAGGATCTATAGAAAAATACTCTATAAGCAGTCTAGCTCTCAATGAATTTTTATGGAACGAACTTTCATATATTCACGAAACAATTTCTCTATTATTTCTCCCAATAATATGATTAGTTTGCAGTCTCATTATATGGCCCTAACCTAACAAACATCTTACCCAAAAAATTTCCGAAACCAGAACTATCTAAAATTGCTAAAACCCAAATAAAAATATGTTGAATCCAAAAAATAATATCAGAAGTAGAAAGAATGTAAGTAAAAATCGTTTTATACAGTTCGAACCAAAAGCAAATAAAAGAAGCGACGAAGGACGGTGACGGTTGTTTTGCGCCAAACGAAATTCAATTTCGAAGTGGAATCGGGTTTTCACGAATCACAGAGACAGGGTTTAGTGATTTCTGAAAGCGAATTATACGTCCGTCATTTCATAGAAAGAGAGGATAGCGATGTTCACCGTCGAGCAGGAAGGAAAGAGTTCACGAGGGGAGGGGAAGTTGGGAAGCATCGGTGAAAGCTTCGATTAAACGGATTCTGGATACCGTTGCCTCTCTTATCCGTCAGATCAAGCGAGGGAATATGGAAATTGAAGTTCATGAAAAATACGTGACGCTAAAAGAAAGAGGGTTTGTGGAACCGTGTCGGAGGGAAACGGCATCTTGTCGATCCACGAATATTTGGGTTCGGGTTAATCGGGTAGATAGTGCTCGGAACGATATCGAATTAACCCCATTATCGATTCTGACCCGCGAGTTATGATACTCGGGGAGCATTATACATGTTCTTATCAAAATTGATATTTGTGCGATGCTTTTAGATGTCGATAATTCGGGGACTCGTATTAACGAATGCAGGGAAGGGGAAGGAAGGTCGAAGTTCGTGGTTGAATGGGGGTTGTTTCGGGTGAGAATTTTGGAGATGTAGGATTTGCATTTTTGGGGATTGAGGATTTGGGGATATGGGGAGTGAGGAATTTGGGAGTGGAGGAATTGGGGGATGTGGAAATTTGGAAATGTGGGAATTGGGGAATGTGGAAATTTGGAGATGTGGGAATTGGGGAATGTGGGAATTGGGGAATGTGAGAATTGGAGAATGTAGGAATTGGCAAATGAGGGAATTGGGGAATGTGGAATTGAGAAATGTGGGAATTGGGGAATGTGGGAATTGAGAATATGGAATTGGGGAATGTGGAAATTGAGGAATATGGGAATTGGGGAATGTGAGAATTAGGGAATGTAGGAATTGGCAAATGTGGGAATTGGGGAATGTGGGAATTGGGGAATGTGGAATTGGGGAACATAGGGCATGTGGGAATTGGGAAATGTGGGAATTGGGAAATGTGGAATTGGGGGAATGTGGAATTGGGGAATATGGGAATTGGGGAATATGGGAATTGGGAAATGTGGGAATTGGGGATTGTGGAATTGGGGAATATGGGAATTGGGGAAAGTAGGAATTTGGGAATTTGAAAAGTTAGAAATTGGAAAATTTAGGAACTTGAGAATGTAGAAATTTGAGAATATAGAAATTTGAAAAGTTAAAAATTGGAAAATTTAGGAACTTGAGAATGTAAAAATTTAAGAATATAGAAATTTAAAAATACAGAAATTTGGGTCTATAGAAATTTCCAAACACAAAAATTTGCCAATACAAAATTTTGAAAAATTGAAAATTCCCAAATTTCAAAACTACTAAATCAACAAACTACCACTAATAAATCACTGAATAAGTAATACAAAAATAAGAAAATTCGTAAATATGTAAATGTCTTAACGAAATTACCTTCAGTAATATATGGTGCTTGATCAGCATATTTGAATTTAAATGAGAGGTTCCGAAATTCAGTCCGATATCGACTTGTTCGAGCATCATCAATATGTATCGGTTTCAATGCGATCGCGATAGGTAGTCAATGATAAATTTATCAAGCTCCCCCGCAGACCGTGAAGAATCATGGCGTGCGAAAGGGAACGTGAATGATAGATGACAAAGGGGAGAGTTCGCTGGAATACGAATACAGGAGGGAAAACTCTTAGAGATAAGTTTGCACGTCCGGGAACCGCGGGAAACTTTCCGAGACTCTCGATTGTTCGAGATTTCGCGACCGCTCGACAAGAATTTTGATTTCCACCGTTCGATCTCGTGTTGGCGAAAGAAAATTGTTTTTTGGTACTTTCTTTTCGTCGATATAGGGGATGAAAGAGAAATGTCTTGTTGATCTGAGGCTTAGCTTCGGAAACTTCGCGGTGGAGTGATTACGCATTCTCTTTGCGCGGATGCGAAACAAGAAAGTGAGTGGGTGTTAGCTCCC